TTTTTTTTTTTTTTTTACAAAGGTAAAACTCTATGCTAATTTCCATTTTGAATCTTCTAATGTGCCTGGTCAGAGCTGTTGTTATTACTCAATTAAAATGACTCCTCAAATCATGTGTTTTCATCTGTAGACAATACAGGCATGAGTGTTACACGCACATTGTTTCCCTTGCTGCAAGTCTTTTTATAGTGGCTGATTTTGTTAAATTTTCTGGTGTTTTAGCTACAATATTGTGGGAATTAGTATTTGTGAACCTATAAAAATAACTTTGAGAATGAAGTAGGAAATAAAGGAAAATGAGAAAAATTAAAATAAGACTTCCATTTAGTTACTAATAATGTTCTAATTAAGAATGTTGTACTTTGATGTGATTTTACACAACAATTTTGTTAGTATTCATATAATGTAAGAAATATTACATTTAAGCAACTTACAACTATATCACATATTATTCTATGAATAAAATTGATAGTAAAAATGACTAAGGATTCTGATCGGTCTGGAATGTGATGAGATCCATGGGGGAGGAGAGACACCAACTTCTACTGACCACTGAGTTAAAATGGCAAAATATTTTGCTATATAATCTTCCTTCCAAATAGTGACTGGTGGACTTGAACCACCAGCTTTCTGCTTAGCAGTCAAATACCTTAGGTACTATGCCACCAGAGCTCCCATATATATTTTACCACAATAAAATTTTTAAAATAATAAAAAATTGGTGTGAACTATAAAGATAATATATTTTCTTAAAATATAAAAAAGGGACAAAACAAGCATTCAGAAGAATTAGAAAGAAATTCCACTCTCCTTTACTCATTTCCTGTTTCCACAGGCATTTTGGTGTGGAGAAAACGTTGGCCACTGGTAGCAAGGAGTATCACAGTCAGGGAGGCGGTGCCTTGGCAGGTGTTCTTTATTTATTGATTTTGATATTTTTGTTTATCATGGATATTTTTGCATTAAATTTGTTTTTAAAATATTTCATTAAGAGATTGTTCATCTTGATTGCTAAGTTATTTGGCATCCCCTTAAATTTTAAGCCAGAGTCCTGGCAGAGTGAGGGATTGTATCCCGGGAGAAGAGCAGCAGAAATGGCCAACAGCCCTGTATGAGAGCTTAAATTCGAAAGCACTCGGGGATGTGGAAGGCTGTGGTCTACAGTGGGAGCCCTAACTCCATTTTGAGGCTTGACATAAGTTTCAGAGGCCATTTGGGTTCTTTCTGACCATAAACCATCATTATGGCTATGCACAGACAAGTTCCAGGACAAACCTAAGGAGGGGCAGTTTCCTTCAGGAGGAATAGGGTTGAAAGTGGATTATACTCTCACAAAGAACTAGGGAACTTGCCTGAGAGTGTCTTTTTCTAATTTAAATTAAGATTGGGGTCTTGGTATTGTTCAGTAGCCATCTTGTGGCTAAGACTCCGGCTGCATAGTCAAGAGCCACAGCTTATTCGGATCACCACCTAGCCAGGTAGTCAAGGCCCAGAATCAATCCGCTAACCCTTTATCTTCAAATCTCAACTGTGGTCTTTATCTTGCTTCTGTAGTCCCAACTGTAACAGTGATGAATCTATCTACCACCAATCATGATTTTGTGATGATTTATAATTATATACAATTAGCCACGTGGCCATGACTTGGGGGAGCTCCATTCAGCTTTCTCATGCTGATGGTTTCCCTCATCCAGGATGACTGTCTTTGTTTTGTCTTTGGTCTGTCCAAGGCTTAATAAAAGCGTCTCTATTGAACCTATTTGAATTTGTGGTCACTTTTCCCCTAATGTATCCCATGCGCAAATGCTGCCCTACCCCGACTGGCAGAAAGAGGCTCAAGGCTCTGCAAAGGAGGTTGAGTAACACGCCCAGAGGGTGGTGATGTTAAAGGGATTCCGGGCGAGGAGAAGGGGGGCTGGTGGTTTTGCCAGATACCAGGGCAACAGGAATGGACACAGGGTGGGGGTGGAGCCGCGTGGCAACGAAGCTTCACGTGATTGGCCAGCGCCAACTTGCGAGCCTACCTCCAGAGTCAAGCCGGTCCTCACCGGTCTCTCTGCAC